TGCAACTCACCTTTTTTTATTTTGAAGGAAAGTACAGCTTTATTGCAAAGTACAAAGCAAGGAGAGCAGATAGCTCATGCTGAAAAGACCCAGTCTCCCTGAGGTGTTCCCCACATACGTTTTAAGGGCAAAATTAGGGGTAGAAGTCCCAGCACATGATCAGTTCAATGAGTGGTTCAAGAGGGTGTGCAGCTCACCCTTTAACTGCGTAGCCCTCCTCAGGAGCTGAGTGAGCAGCAGACCGGAAGGTAAATGAATGCTACAGGTTTACAAGCACCAAAAGACAAGGCTGAGAATAATTCTCATGACTATTAAAATGAGAGGTAATAAAGAGCTGGACTTGCAGCATAGTGGTTGAGGGAGTTGGAGCCTACATGGCTGACTGTGGATTGAATCCCAGTCCTGGCAGCTTTAAAAACCCACTGGGCACCCGTGTATGTGTGCCCCAAATCCCAAAGGATAGAGAAGTGGTTGAGACTGGCGTGAAGACACCCCACTGGAGGCGCTTTCTCATTTTCTCTGTCTCTGTCCAGCAAGCACATGTACTCTCTGGCAATAAAAACCAAGAAATGAAGTCTGTCATCCTTCTCAGGGCTCTTAAATGAGTTTGGGAAGCTCCTTCCTGCAGCCATGGTATCCCTGGTTTCTAGGATGAGGGAGTGCAGGCAACTCCCTTCACACAATGCCTCCAACGAGTATTTATTACGCATCCTAAAAAACCTGAGCTGGTAGGCTATATTGCAGTTACAAATATTTACAAGTTCCTAACTCTCTCAAGCCTCCACGCTCATAAACTACATTTTTCCCTTAATTTGAGCCCAGTTTTTTTTTTTTTCATTTTTTAAGTTTTTGCCATAGAGCATGTGTGTTTGCCAGATAGAGATGGAGGGAACGTGAGAAATCACCCTTCACGAGGATGGCTACGCCGCAATACCTTCTCTTCCATTTTCCTCCTGGGATTTTGGGCATGCATGCACATGTGCCTGGCATGGTTTTCAAGCCACCAGGTCCAGGACTTGAACCAGATGTTATCATCATATGTGTGTGTATACATAAACGATACTCTTTCAGGAGGCAAAGCTAAGGAGGTGGAAACTTCTAAGGATGATGCCTTGGCAAAAGAGATGTTTAAGTTCCCTCTGTTGGACGTATGCTACTAAGGCACTATACTCTGCAGACTGGGTCCGCATGGGAGGCCCAGATTATTCTGGTGTAACCTAAGGCTGGACATGGTGGCAAGTACCTGGAATCCCAGCAAGTTGGAGAGACTGAGGCAGGAAAAGTGCAAGCTTGAGGCCAGTCTGGGTAACGAGCCCTGTCTCAAAGAGCCACACGATGGTCTGTGACTGTAGTCCCATTTGGAAGGCCGAGTTAGAAAGATCGCAGCATGGCGAGATCTTATCGTTTTGAAAAAGGGGGTGAGGACAACGGGTGACATGGTGTCTAAGGTGCTAGATTCCACATGGATGACTATGTGGTTCAAGTCCCAGGGATACACCAGGGGCATGTGTGTAGGAGTCCAGGAGCCCAAGAGGAGAATGGGGGACCAGCAGTTAGCATAATGGCTGTATCACTGGACTCCCATGTAGTTGACCGCGGTTTGTGTCCCGGACCTGGTGGCTTAAAACTCATGCTGGGCGTGTGTGCGTGCGTGCCCAAGATCCCGAGAGGAGAATGGAGGAGAAAGGATTGCGGCATGGCCATCCCCCCCCCCTGGGGGGGGATTTC